TTTGGATTAAGTTATAAAAATACAATACTCAGCACTGATATGGATTAATTTATGAAAATACAGATCGTGAAACAAACTCCTTTGCTTGACTTGCTATGGAATAATGAAGAGTATTAGCAATTTTCCCTGACTACTGGGTCACTACTCTTAGTATTTCATGTTCTATACTAATATATGCTAATAGTAAATGGTCAGTAATATATCTTATATATGATATCATATGTAATATCTTTTATACATTACAATGAATCTATTTTCTATAGTATATCATATATGTCATATACTGTATATCTCAAATATACATTATTATAGAACATTAAATGTTAACAGTAATTAGAATTCTATGTATTTATCATTTGTGTGTCTATCTACCTATTGCATCACAACTATCTCCCAATTATTTACTATCTCTGACAACAAAATTTTTTGCATTTTTCTTTCCATAAGCACTTTTTTCTCTTTGCATTTTCTCTTGAGCACCCTGAAATTTCTCTTCTCAAAGTCACCAGTTATCTCCATGCTACCAAACCAGCAGCCAATCCTCAGCTTCCATTTGACTTATCAGTAGTAGATGATACAGTTAGTCATTCTGTTTTTAGGGAACTCCATTGCTGTCCTCCTAAGAAACTATCTCCCCTGGATTCTTCTATTCAGGGGTTACCTCTTTATTAGCTTATTCTACTGACCTGAGTAAGTCCATATTACTCTCTTTTTATTTTTATTTTTACATAATTCACTCATACAACCTAAGTGTTGTCATTTCTCTAAAAAATCTTTAGATTTCATCATTATGCAGATTTGCATTTCTAACCCACAGTTCTCTCCTGAGCTTCAGAATCATATATGAAACCAATTTTGATTTCCATTTATAGGTTTAATAAACATTTTATCTATTTATGCTTAATAGATTATATCATATAGATATCTACATTAATAGATAATCTACTAATCTGTGTTTAATAAACCTTCTCAAAATTGAAAGTATAAGAGGGACTGGGAAGGATGGGGAAGAGAGCTGAGGGGAGGAGACTGTAAGAGAGGGTAGGAGTAGGGTGCAACAACATGATCAATTCATGATATATGTGTGTATGAAAATATCACAGTGAATCCCATTAATTTATACAGTTAAAATATATTAATTGCAATTAAAATTTTAATCCATTTCAATATGAATTCCTTTTTATTCCATACTTATTCAACAAAGTAGATGTGGAATAAAATTTTAATTCTTTGAGGAACATTTTTATATTGAATTTTTTACTTTGAATAGGAGAAAATTATTTTTTCTGATGTCTTCTGTTCTCTTAGCTCACAGAATATAATATAAAAAAACTTATAAGACATTTTAGAAATCTTTAGGAAGAACATCTCTTTAACTCTGTAGAAATAAGGCTGTTCCAGAGAAACAGAAGTCCTATATGTATTCTTGAGTCAGAATATAATCAGCACACAAGCCAGAGTTCAAAATGTGGAGGAAAAAAATAGGTTTCCTACTCCCTTATTCTTTGTGCAGGTCTTGAAATCTACTTAATTTACTGTGATTTTCTTTTTTCCTTGTCATTCCCACTGTCTCTGCTTTCCTGCCCTGACCCCCATTTCTCTTGTAGACAACAACATGCTTCTCATCGACTTCTGAGATTCCTGTCTGCTGTCCTCTAGCTTTGTCATGTTATTATTACAGTTAGCTTTTTAAACTCAAATTGTATTATGTGAGGTCACTAGGAAGACCTGTGAATTATTTCCTCTCCTCATACCGAATCTAACCTACTTTGACTTTGTGGATTTCCTGAGCCTTATCTCCTAATATTGCTTCTCTATGTGAGTGCATCTGCAATAGAAGAATATTTGTAGTTCCTTGATTCACCCTTTATTTCTCTATTTCTATATACATACTCTTCTTCTGCAATACCTTTCAACTCCATTCTCCCTTATTTATTTGTTGTAGTGTGTTTTAATACACTTAGTCTGCTATGACAAAATACCTTAGACCAGGTAATTTATAAACAGTAAGCAACACAACTTTATTTCTTATAGTTCTGGAGGTCAGGAAGTCCAAGGTCAAGAAACGAGTAGATTCAGTGTCTGGTGAGGAATTTATTTCTTGCAGATGGTGCCTTGTATGTGTCCTCACATGTAGGAGGACACGTAAGTAAGCAAGCTCCCTCAGAGGTCTTACAAGGACATTAACCAGACTCAAGGACATTAACCTCACATGTAGGAGGACACATAAGTAAGCAAGCTCCCTCAGGGGTCTTACAAGGACATTAACCTGACTCATAAGGGCAGAGCCCTCATGATTTAATCACTGCCTCAGAAGTCTCCACCTCTTAGTACTATCACACTGGAGATGAAGTTTCAACATGAATTTTGGAGAAACATAAACATTCAGGTCATAGCATACTTGAAATTCCAGCTTATATGAAAATTACATCTTTTGTAAAGGGTTTCTCAACTAGCCTCAAACATAACATAGTAGAGATTCATTCAATTTTTAATGACCTTAATCTCTTAATTTCTATATTTAAACTGTTTTATCTACAACAATTCTTTGTGTAGCACACTTTCCCAATGCTTATTTTCTTTCCTAATTTTGTCTTTTGAGAAATTATAATTTTTTGTTTCTTTAATTATAGCACTCATAATTAAACACACCTTAAAAGAAATTTTCTATTATGATGAGACTCTCTGCCTGGAGCTAGTCATCTCTTCAGTTTATCAATTGCCAATACAGGCTATCCCCAGTTTTCTTAGACATCAGGTCCTCAACAGAGGCCTCTAGAAATTAATGGGGAGATTCTGGTACTAACACTACCACTAAATTAGCAAATAACTCTGAAAATGCTCTCAAAATTGTCCCGCATCTCAAATTTCCAATTGACAAAATACACAGATTAGAGCAAAGAATTAAAACACCATAGTAGAGCTGGTCTTGGTCATGCATTCCTATAATTCTAGCTACTCGGCAGGCTGAGAAGGGAGGATTGTGATTTTAGCCCTCCCTTCCTAGGCAACATAGCAAGATCTTCAACTCAAAAACAAAACAAAACAACAAAGAATATTAAAACAACAATAATAACCCTGTTGTCTAAAATTATATTGAGTTAAATTTTCCAAATAGGGCAAGTAGCGCATTTTGTAATCCCAGCACTCTGGGAGGCTGAGACAGTAAAATCTCAAGTCTGGACCCAGCCTGGGAACTAAGTGACATAGCAAGACCCTATCTCAAAATATAACATTCAAAAAACAAGAGTTGGAAATTTAGCTCAGTATTCAAACACAGTACCAAAGGGGAAAAAAATCCAGATTGTGATTGGTGTAACAAAAAAGAAATCTAGAAAAATGTTTAAAAATAACTTCCATGTTCTTTCCTCTATCTTGGAGCCTCCAGAGGCAGGTTGGGAACAGGACTTTTGAAGGGCAGTCATGTCTGGGAGACTATCATGCATGGCCATTTCTGCTGGCTGTAAGTGTGGTCTCCAGAACCGAAGGGAGCACACAGCTCTTCCTAGAACTGAGGGAGTTTATGTCCCAGATGAAACTGAATTCTACTCAGGCAAGAGATGCACTTATGGGTACAAAGTAAAAAACAACACAGGGACTCCAAGTGGCAAATCAAACCAAACCAGAGTGATCTGGAGATAGGTAAGTGTGACCCATGGAAACAGTGCTAAATTCTAAAGCAACCCTCCTGCTGAGGCTATTGGACAGAGAATTCATGCGAAGCTGTACCTTTCAAGAATTTAAACAGATGAAAAATAAAAGTGAATATGTGCTTTTGTACAAAAAATTTTTCATGAATCCTGTAAATAATCAATTGCTTGATTTACTTATTTATTTTGTGATGGAGTTTTGCATGTTATCCAGGCTGGTCTCAAACTTATGGGTTCTAGTGATCCTCCTACCTCAGTTTCCTAAATAATTGGAACTACAGGTATATTCCAATGGTAACTGGCTTAAAAATTTAAATGTATGTCCTTTTTTTGCAAGTGAATACACTAAAAGTGGGTCAGGTAATGTCACTGCTACAATATTAAGCTGAGTATCAAATATTATGCTGCACTTAGACACATGGGCAGGAAATATAAAAACTTCAAAATAAATGTCATATAGTTAAGCATTTTATAGAAACAGGGATTTACAAAAATATTTAGTATAAATTACATTTAAAGTCACATGACCACTTATAATAATACAAACAGGTCATGCACTAGAACTCACACCAATCAGGCAATAATTCTGACTAGCAGATATTTCCATGAAGTGTTGAACAGTTTAAAGAAAGCTATTATGGGATTTAAAATAAATCCATATTTAAAATGAAACACCACTGATCAAATGTGGTAAATAATGAACAATTTAATGTGAAAATAACTATTATAGTATTTAAATATATCTTTAAAATAAGGAAATATTTGCATTGATCAAATATGGTAAAACAAAAATTCAAGAAATCTCAGAGGATGTCACAGCGTCAGCAGGCTATAAAATGGACTGTGGGTTTATGAAGACAATCTTCCCTAAAGCTCCAGAACTCTGTCTATTTTAAGTGGTAGTATAGTTTTTCCTCTGTCTTGGCTTATCTTATGAGCAACAGAAGTCTGGCAGAATAGTGACAGTAAGGCTTAGGCACAGAAAAATTTACTGGCTTGTGAATTGTGTTTTGAAGATGAATGTAAATACCCAGGAATATAGACTATTCCGTTGAAAGTTGCCAGTCCTAATAATTGTGTGCCAAGACTGACATGGAAATGAATTTCTCTATTAAGAGCCAGTGAAGATGCCAACATAATGCCTGCCCTTTTGAGAAGGCATTAGGAACAGAAGAAAAGTAATAGCAGAGCTCTGAGGGTTGATGAATCCAATCCAGCCCCCAAAAAATCTGTTCCAGGTTTGAAAAATCACCCCTTCCTCCTGTGTAAGGAAGATGCTAAGAAGCACAATTGCCTTTTGAATTTAAATCTCTGAATTTAACGGAGCTTCTGTAGGGGCAGGACTTCTGTAGGGGCAGGACGGAGATGGCACCCTGGGTCTCTGAGGCACCTGTCCCTTTCTGAGTCAGACAGGGTCAGGAACCAGACTGGGACCAGACCACTAGCAAGGCACCGGAGGATGTTCTCTAAATAAGACCATGGAGCTTCAGAAAACCAGCTCTCTTCTCATCTTCTGCCTCAGTTTCTCACTGCTCATCTACGTAAAGAGTAAGCCTTTCCCGTCGATTGAACTTTTGCCACACTTCCAGGTTTATTTCTGACTCAGTATATTATTTGCAAATAATTCATAATGTTGCATGTCCTGTAAAATACAATGCCAAACAAGTATTTATATCTGTTGGTGTCAGCAAACATCCTGTGTCAAGCAAGTTAGTGACATCAGTCAATGTGAACAGTCAAATTTGGGGTTATATGATTTCCTCTGAGGATTTAGGTTCAAAAAAACTTTTTAAAACTCTTTTAGTGGTGAGCAGGAGAATGAAATGGCCATATAGGAAAGAAGATTACTTTGTTGTGTTTGTACTTTTTCAAAATAGATCTGGCACTTTATATTTGATACTCTTTAAAAAGAAGTTATTACTAAGTTCTATGGCATTTTTTTTCTGATGTACTGTGTATCTTTATTTTTAAAGAATTCTGGATAGCAACATATGGTCTTACTATCAAAGAGGTCGTCTGCATGTTTCCCAAAAGATAGTAGTTCAAAATATCATTTTTGCCAAAAAAGATTATGTAATTCTGTTTATAAATGAAGATACTGATTTTCTGCAAACTTCCTGAGATACAAACAAGAGCAGTGTTCCCAGGATAATCTTGTCAGATATATGGCAGTATAGGAAATTGGAGGGGACTGAATGGTATTGGCTGTGTGTTTATGAGGGACAGTAGCTATTTAGCACATTTAAAATAAAGACAGGGAGAGTATGTGCTTGTCAGATGTGCCGTGTGATTTGTGTCTGTTGAATCTGAATATCAATAAGGCAAGCATAGAGCAGCTGCTGCTAAACAGGGAGACTTGGCATTAATGCACAGGGCTGTGTAATCTGGGTTACTTTCTGTGGCTGCATCTGTGAGGCTGTTAGTTGTAGAATTTACAGCTGAACATATATCAGAGGTTGGGTGGACAGAGAAGTAATTGGTATAGATAGGTCTCTGAAAAGATATACAGAAAGAACAAGTCAAACTTTAAACGAATGATTGTAAAATTACTGATTGCAATTTCATACAGAGATAGATATACACAGTTTTGAGAAATACATTTGTTACAGAATTGTTATTTAAATATCACCATCCTCAAAACTTACAGAAGGTCTCATGCAACAGGAAGTGAGGAAGAGATGGGTAATTCTGAGATGTGGAGGTGGGAGGAGAAAGGAAAGAAATGAGACATAAATGAAAGGGGAAGTGATATTATGACATATTTTGTAGCAAAGAACACTGCCATTTCAGTGCCTTATATATTAAAACTCCTAGAGTTCTCTTTTAAGAAGATGATTATGTGAGTTCTAAAGAATACATCTGCTTTTAAGGGTATGATAACTTTGAGCAGACAGTTATATGTGCACTATTTGCACGCTCTTTCTTTGAGTAGGGGATTTCATTGGTATACTCTAAACAAATAGTTCAGATTTTTATGATTTAATCTCCAGTAGAATATATTATTAACTTAAGCAAATCAGAAGCCTCATGTTATCCCTTTTTTTTAACAACAGTTTGGTTTTTATTTGTATTAATATATTTGCTGGCAAAGTACAACAAGATTACCTTTCCAATCAAAGCAGTTTATTGTTAGACTGACTTTGTTTTTTAACCTCACTTTAAAGCCTTCAGGAACCAGGTAGCTGCCTTCTTTTTCACCCTTATCACTTAGTACTCTTTGCATAAATCCTGTGTTGTAATGGAATAAATAAAAATATATATAGTGGCAGAAATGGCTAACATGGTACTTGATATTTAATATGTGCTATATTCGATTTAATTATTAAAATAACCTTATAAGACAGATACCACTGTAATTCATCCACATAGGGAACCAGAAGTGAAATCATTATACCACTATTTTCCTTCAGACAGCTGGAACACTTGATTAAGATGGTGCCTCTTAAGTCCAGCCCCAGACAGTAGTATGTCTGGAGTGGCCCATAAGAGCCTATAATTTTAACAAGCTCTCCATTTTCAGGTGAACAGAAACTCTGAATTATATAAGAAATCTTCACTGAGAGTCCACTACATTATGATGCTAGGAATCATTAAAATAGTCCATTTTAAATATATACATTCCCTCAAACTACTGCTTGTGAGAAAAGGTAATCAACTTGGGATTTATGAGCTCTATTCCCACCTGTGTACCTAACTGTCCTCTGAGGTAGAATTTATCATTAATTCTATGTTGTAATTGATAAAACAGAGGCACAGAGCATCTTATTAAGTTTTCCAGGGCCCTACTAGTAGTCACTGGTGGAACTGGGACTTGAACTTCTGGAGTCTGTGCTCTTAGTGGACAGGTACTGACACCCATGGATTGATAGTGCATAAAGGCCTTAGCACTCTGCTCAGAGCATCACAAGCACACAGGGGATTTCAGTTGTCAACAGCATATTAGTTGGAATTAATATCATGTTAGTTTTTCTGTTTGTACTTTGAAATATAGTCCCTTAAATATAAGAGAAACAGACGGATCCTGTTTTCATTGTTCGTCAAATGTCCTAGACCCTTTGCATCCTTCTAGTTAGGGACATGTGACATGAGGAATACTGTATCAGAAGAGAGACTAGGAAGTACCATTAAATTCCTGCTCCTGAACAGGTAGGCTTTCCTCCTTTCAAATGAATGTGCTCCTATGCTTTGCTGATTATTTTCACACCTATTCCACAATTTTGTCACCTTGGTCTCCTGAACAAGATTAGTTGAATTTTAATAATTCAAGAGGAGCTATTGTTTTTTGTCTTTGATATATCAAAGTTCAAAAAGATTATTTTTGTATTGATTTATATATGTTCACCTACGAAAACACAGGACATGGCTGTAGGAACTGCGAATGATTTGCCAACAGATGTAGCTCAAGGCAATGGCTAGTGACTTCCTAACTCAGTGTAGTCACTTAAATAATAATTATGAAATGAATAAGTTAATCGTGGTATTTTTATAGCACTTACAGGTATCTTCCTTCTTAATGATATTTTGAATTGCTTTTAACTATTGTATCATTGACCTTTAACAATATATTTTATTGTTTTAGAATAGAACTAGACTTACTTAAAAATGGAGAGGATAGTTCAGAGATCCCATATTCCACTATTATTGACCTCTTACTTTAATGCAGTAGATTTGTTACAGTTAATGAATCAGTATTGATAGATTCTTACTAAAGTAATAATGAGGTTTATTCATTAACTAAAGTTAATGTTAATGAATAGTTTATTCATATTCTCTTAGATTTTATCGAATGATCTTTCCCTAGCCCTGTTGCAGTATCTCATTAAAGATGCCACACTGTTCTTCACTGTCACGTAACCTTAGGTTCCTCTTTTGTTTTTTATGATACTGGCAGTTTTGAAAGCATTGGTCAGGTATGTTATAGGTTCCCCACTATTGGAATTACTTTCATTTTTTTTCTCATGATCAGACTAAAGCTATGGTAGTTGGAATGAAGTCCACAGGGCTAAGCGTCATCATCACTACATCACATATTATCATTATGTCACATATTATCATTGTGTCATATATATGTATTACAATACATATAATCAACTGATGTTGACATTAATCACCTTGGAAGCAGTGTTTGTCAGGTTTCTCTACTTATACAGTTATTTACTTTTTCCTCTTTCTGTAATGTTCTCTAAGGAAGGAAGTCACCAAGTGCAATTCAAATCTAAGAAGTAGGAAATTGTGCTCCCCCTTCTGGAGGGCATAATGTCTACATAAATTTAGAATTCTGAAAGAGGGTTTGACTCATATATTATATTATATTATATTAGAAAAAGTAATGACCTCCCAATGTTATACGGCAATGCATTAAGTAGATTATCTTATGTTTAAATCAGACCCTGTTCCAGGTTTTGAAAAGTAACCCCGATATCTGATATTGTGAGAATAAAAGACCCCAGTATCTGATACTGTGAGAGTCACATCTAAGTGGGTTAAGATAAACAAAAATGCAATAATGAATGAAAATATGTAACTGTGAGCTGGTGATGAGTGGTACTGAGAGAAGCAAAAGATGAGACAGAAGCAAGTGAACCATGGACTATTCAGTAAATAATGCATGAGTGGGACAAAAGCAAGTGAAAGGCCCTGAAGGAATCTGCCTGTAGTGTTGAGATACTGCAAATGCCCAACAAAACTGGAGCGAATGAAGTGACATAGAGCAAACTGGGAAAGGTATCAGTGATTTTACTCTCAGTATCTGTCATTCTTACAATAATCCTACATAGTAGCTATTACTAAGCACATTAAGGCATGTAAGGCTAAAGGCAGAGTAAGGGATATTCTCAAATCATAGCTGTAAGGTGATACAATGATTTTAAATCTAGGTCTGAGCTTCAGACCAACTCCTAGAGACCAAAAGACAAACAAACAGAAATTTCACAAGACATTTGGTTATTACAGCATTGTTAGTTTGAAATCAGCCATGGTGGAAGAAAAGGAAACACTAAAAATTAGGGATTTGTGAAGAAGTTTCAGAAAGAAAATCACCCTAGATAACCAAGTATCCATTCTCTCTTTCTGCTTCTCCAAATTAAAACTGTTTACAATTTGAACTCATATTTAAACTGTAACTAAAATCTGTAGAGGCAGGAATTGTTGCTCAATAACCTAAATTAACCTCGTTATACACAGTAGTTTGGTTCTCCTTGTTATTTTCCTGATAATTTCCAGATGGATGAGTCTTTTCTCTAAGTTCAAAATTCTTTGAAACTTGTAAATAAGTATACTGTAGGCACATTACTGAGAGCAGGGTGCTAATGAGGTTGTTTATGGTTCATTTTGGTTCAAAATGAAATTCATTTTGCTTTGCCCCAAGGTCAACTATAAAAGTAATCACATCTGGTCAGCTGGTCTCAAACTTGTACTTGTGAATACAAACAGAGAAAATGCAATTAGCTCTGAGCAAATCAAGCATCACCACTGAAAAACTCAGCCACAGGTTAGCAGTAACAAATTTCCATACAGATAATACATTAATCATTTCATATATGTTTATA